ACTTTTAGCATTTTCACTATAGTGATCAACCTTCAATCTAATCTAAATGTCAATCCCTGGGAGTCAATTCTGTATCTTGCAATATATAGTGAAAATAGTAAAAGCGAGCGGTTTCGTCTCTTTTTAAGGGGCCGGTTAGAAAGAGCTATTCACTTTTAGCATTTTCACTATAGTGATTAACCTTCAATCTAATCTAAATGTCAATTCGTAGTCCGAAACGGCCTTGACGCGTCGTTTAATTGCAATCTTGCAAAATGGCCGGTGCCGCGCGCGCCGGCCGCAATTCGTATTTGCCGCCGCGCGGCCCCACCGCGGCGGCCGCGAGGCGCTATACGGCGTCGGGGCGGCCCGCGTCACTTCCGTCATGCGCGGTTGCCGTCGGCGAGCGAAACAATCGAAAATACGTTGCACCTGCGAGAAAAATCCCGATTTGGCCGTCGGGTCTCGCAACGATGCGACCGGGCCAATCGGTGGCGCCGGTGCCGGGGACGCGCCGGACATCCGGTGAGCGCCGTAAGTTCGCCGGACCGGGCGCTTTCCGGTCGAGCCGCGGGCGGCTACCGGCAGCGCCGTTGCGCGGCAGTCACGAGAATACTCCTCGTGACGCCACACTAGCTCTTCCTTTCCGCCGAACTCTCGCGAGTTGAACATGTCGCATACTGCAGAGAGAAGGTAAGTTGGCCCGTTTTTCCAGCGTAACGGCGCGCCGCGCTCGCGTTCTCGCGACGCGCCGCGTCCGCCGCGGCCCCGCGGCCGTCCTGGATCGCGCGCGTCGCGAGATAGGCGGGCGCGCGGGTTAAAATACGGCCGCGGGGACCGCGCGATGTGCCGCGGCCGACGGGATGCACACGGGGGACACGAGACTGACAACATGGCGTGCACTCGTTTTTGTCACATTGCCCTCGCGCCGTGCCAGCCGACGTGCCGCGGGTCCCCGCCCGGTCGCTTAACCTCTCGGTCTCGCCCGCGGTGCCGCGGGCGGCCGGCGGTCCGCCGCGTGGCCCGACAAACGGGGCCGAGTGGGCGTGCGGAGCGAGTCGACGGCGGGCACACGCACGCGGCCCCGACGCCGTTTGGCGTGGGTGAAGCGCGCCGCTCACTCTCGCCCGCTCGCCCCCTGTTGCGTGCGTGCGTGCGGGAGCACGTTTTCCCTCGGTCCGCCCGCGGAATTACGTAACGGAGATGCCGTTTCCTCGCGCGATTCCCGCGCCGGGCAGGAGAGACGGGAAAATCAATCGCGGTTTCCCCCCCGGTGGCTCCTCGCGCACCGCCAGGACCGCACAGTCACTCCCGCGCGTTCCCCCCCCGGCCACGCCGAAGCAACACGTCCCGCGTCTCCCGGCCACGTTTCCGCGCGCGTGAGTCACTGTCAGGGAGACGATCGCGAGAGGCCAGCGGCGGCCCCTCGGGGCCCTTTTCCCCACCCGGGACACCCCACGCGGGACGACGGAGATGGCCAGCGGGCCGCGAGATTTTCGTCGGCCGGTCGCACCACGCGCGAGCCAATTTAAAGAGTTCGGGCCACCCAAGGTCACCTGAATTTAAAGCGGTTCGTCATCGCCTGATCGCCGTGACCGATATTACCGATCCCGCATGGCCGCTGAGCGCAGATATATATGTATATATATTTTTTTTAATCTCGATAAACCGCCCGAGTGTCCGCCGCGGACGCGCGACAGCGGGGCTTCCCGTCCTCTCGTACTTTCCGCGCCGTGGAAGCGGCCCGGACTCTGCCCCTCGGTCGGAGGCAGCGTGCGTTTTGCGGCAAAGTAAAATTCGGAGTCGGGCCGTGTGTGATTTACCTGCGAGCGCTCTGATGCGATAGAGCACGCGATTTAACGTCCGGTTGATATTATCAGTCTTTATCTGCGCTCTTCCTCGCTCTAATATCTTATCTGCGCGTTTTCAGAAACGATGATCAATGGTCAGGGGATTCGAAAAATGGCCCTAGCGAAGGCGAAACGCCCACGTACGATGGACCGCCTGGAATGGACCCCGATGGCATCATCGAGTCCAACTGGGACGTCGTAAGTAACTCGCTGTTGCGTTCTCAGCTGTTTCGACCGTTGAAAGATTCATACTGTTCTCTTACGCTCGGGTATTCCGCGCCGGTGCTGTCGATACGAGTCGTAATTCCTATACCTGAGCGCGTGGGCGTTGAAAGCAGCTCGCGTACAATTTAAATAGATACACGTGCGCTCTATTATCGAGAACGTTAACGTGACAGAGGAATATTCCTTGATGCAACGATTGTCCAGATATACGTGCAAAGTTCACTCGCGCAAGTGGAGAAGCGACACTTTCGAGAGCAAAATTCTAGACGATTCTATGCAATATCATCTATTTCGCCTTGGAACAGTTTTTAGGTCTTCGATGGCTGTACATGCGAGTTCAGGCCTGTGTCCATGATGCTAGAATTTGGTCCCGGTTCCAGCTCCGAGAAATGTGTAGTCAATCAGCTTGCAGCTGTTCCATAAAAGTTGCAAGTTGATTGGCTCCGCATCTCTCGGGACTAAAGCCCAATGTCCACGATG